CTTTGCTGACGTTGTGGTTGGCTACAGTGGCGATGATCACCAACGGGTCCTCGTGAGGGAACGTTACCCCCCGGCAGTCGGCGGCTGTGAACGTCATGTTCGGCACCGTCGACTGGGGAGGTTGAATGTCAGCGTTGTTCACCTGGTGGGTCAGAGCCCTAAGGTGTCGCTTGTGTTCCCTCCGAGAGCATATTCCTCCCGAGATAACATTGATCGGAGAGAATTTTCCCTCCGCATTTTTATTGTTCTTCCGGGGGAAGTCGAGGTCTTGCCGAGAGTCCTTTGCTGACTTCTCGGCCTCTTTGTTCTCGCGGTAATCCGTGATGTATTTTTTCAAGTATCCCTTCCGGACCATGTCCTTGATCTGGTCCTTCAGCTGGATACATTCCTCGGTGTTATGTCCCGGTGATTCATGGAACTAGCACCACTGATTTTTATTTTTTCGCTGATACCACTCTAGGAGTGGTCTCGGCTTTCTGTAACTCTGCTCCTCCTTTTTCACGCTGTAAATTTTGGCACGTGGAAGAGAGAGGGGAGTGTAGGATTCATATCTGCCTGTGAATGGGACAGATTTTTCCTTCATCGGCTCGTTGGCCGAAGATTGCTTCGAGGCTTTCGCCTTTCCCTTTGTCTTCTGGCCTTGGCCTTCAGACGAGGGTGTTTGTTTTTGCTTCCCTCCCCCAGACCGAGGTTGGGTTTTTGTTTTGTTCCACTCTTCAGCTCGGATGAACTTATCCGAAGCATTCAGCGCCTCCTCCAAGGTCTTGGGTGAATTCATGACCATGAAGTCGGAGAACTGCCCTGCTCTGAGGCCGTGCTGAAGGGCGAAAACTGCTAGCCCTTGGTCCAGCTGAGAAATGTTGGACGACTCGTTGCTGAAACGGGTAAGATAGTCTCGGAGGCTTTCAGCCTCTCCTTTTTGCAGACCTATGAGTTCTGCAGTAGTCTTCTCTCGGCGGTTTGCCGTGGAAAACTTGCTCTTAAACTTGATGGACATGTCTTCCCACCCTGTTATAGAGCCTTGTTTCACTCCCTTTGAGATCCACGCTTGAGCGACCCCCTTGAGAGTGGTTGGAAAATATTTGCACCAAGTCGCTTCGGACCTGGGGCAAAGATGCATATGAGCCTCGTACGAGGCAATGTGGTCCTTCGGATCCGAAGTCCCATCATATGTGATGTGCGACGGTATTTTAACCGTGGGCACGTGCTCTTCCAGTATCCATTGCTCGAATGGGGAACTGGTGGGTAGCATAACGGCCTTGCCTTTGTTCCTGGTCAAAGGGACCGCGCTCCGCCCTCTTAGAGAGGTAGGAGTGGTTTTCGTCCCTGACTGGGAAGTTTGGGCCTCGGCTACAGGGAACGAGAGACGACTGTGCACGCTCGGCTCCCTGCCGCCGAGTCGGTCGAGGACGCTTCGGAAAACAGTCTCAGGTTGCTCTCGGCGAGTAGATTCTGGCCGAGAAGCTGAGCTGCTGCTCTTATGCGTTTCTGGTCGAGAGGTTGAGGATCCTCTGAAAAATTGAGGGTTCTTTTTCCTCTCTCTTTCAGTTCTCCAGGTATCTTCTTCCCACTTTTCCAGCTCCCGGAAGGAGAGAGGTTTCCCACCATCATGGTCTAGCTTCCTCCGCTGATGCCGGGTATGCGGAGGAGTTCGATCGCGAGGTGGAGGCATATTTTGTGCCCTCATTTCCTCCATGAGCACTGCCAGCGCTCTCGCCACCTCCTCCGAGCTAGGTCCCGTCAAAGGGGTCCTCGGCTGAGTGTGGGAATGAGAGCGGATGGTCGATGGTTGGCTTTGGGGCATTGAATGAGTCTTATGATCGGACTGACCTCTGTTAGACCGAGAGGGACTCGGCCTATGATGAGAGTTGTGAATTACGGGAGAAAGGGAATCCTCCCTGTGTGATCCTCCCCCCGAACTGGCACCCTTGGGAGAGTTTTGGTCCGGTGAGGGTGATGGTGTAGGAGTTTTAGGCCTTTCGCCCGCTCCTTGACGGAGGCTTTTGCTCTTGCGGTTCTTAGCCATTGCTACTAAGATGATTGCAAGATGATTTTGATTAAAGATTTGGCTTAAAGATTTTTGAAAGTCTTCCCCACAGACGGCGCCAAATTGTTTCGGATGAAAACAATGGGGCGTTGCCGAAGGCCCGTTGAAGTGGCTGAAGACTGGTTCGGTCCAATTGATGCTGGGCCGAAGGTTTCCTGCACAACTAAAACACGTAAACTGGCCTCGGGGGTGGATCCGAGGAAGACCCCTCCGATGCCGAAGTCAAACAGTGTTTAGAGAGAGAAAGCTATGCAAGAGATCGAATTCAACTTCCACTCCGTTGTCATTAAAGCAATTGATGTCACTGCTGCTCTCCTCGACACCGACAATCTTCATTCTTCAAAATAAATACAGTTTCATTGGAGATAAGTGTAGCAAGAGAAGTGTAGCAATCACCATTACTGACACATCGTCGCGGAAGAGAGAGAAAACTCCAATAATTTTAGGGTTCGCAAAACCGTTCGAAAGTAACATTAACGACGTTAACATCCAACATTTGCCAAAACGGTATAACACGTGAATTCATTTCTATTCCAAATTTGTCCTTACTTTAACACGTGAATAGACGAAAATGGCCCTATAACAACGCGCTTCATTGATATCGGATATCAATTTGGATTTGCTCATATATTATGAGTGTTTTTTAAAGGTATAATTTGTATAGAAAATAGTAACTTCTATGATATGAAAGGTTAATTTTTAATACTTTTAGGATAATTAAGTTTAACCTATCTTATACTTCCTCTCTTTTATTATTTGCAGCACATATATAATTGCGGACTCTTATGCGATTATAAGAATTGAAAGAGATAGATAGGGAAAATTTATCAAATAATAAAATAAAACTTTCATTTTAAAAAAAAATTCAACCTTGTAATTGAGATAAGGAGATTACACAAGTGGTAGTGTATTCTATAGTGTGGGTGAATGAGTGTCATTAAGCTGAGATGCCTTATCTAATCGGAGCCCCACCCTCCAATCAAGAATCCTACCTACTATACCTCTTTTAGTCTTTTCGCATTTCACTCGTCGTTGTCCTTATCTTCATCCTTTTCTTTTCCTTATTCATCATTTGATTTTTTCGATCAATATTCAATTTAGCTTAAGTCCCATGCAATTTACAATTTACTGTATTTTAAAAAAGAGTTATAATGTTTTTTTTTTTGAAACCAAGATTTACAACATTTAATAATTCAACAACAGTTTATAAATTATTCTCTTATTTATTAAAAAAATGTGATAAAGGTCCATATTTTGTAAAATTTTCCAAATAGTAGAGTAAATTTTAGGATGTACCCGTAGGATATAAGAAGTATAATTTGAATATCTTAAAATCAACGGATATTTCATCAAATGCCACTGAGTAATTTAAAAATTCACCAAATGCCATCGGACTTTTCAGAATTCACCAAATGCCACTGAGTTTTTAAAAAATTCACTGAATGCCATTAATGACTAACGGCAGTTAACTCCGTTAGTCATTAAGGCTAATTATGCCACGTGGTGTATTCTAATTGGTTCACTTTATTATTATTATTTTATTTATCAAAAAAAATTAAAATCAGAAGTTTTCAAAAAAAAAAAACAAAAAAAAATTAAATCAGAAACAAAAAAAAAAATAAACCCTCGCCACTCTTCCCACCGCACCACGGCACCACCGCCCCTACGCCAGCCCAACCCCTTGCCCCCACCCCCACCGACGACCAACATCCTCTTTGGTGTCGGCGGCCACCCTTCCCCCTACCCCTACCATCTTCATCCACTTCCCCCCCTTAAACCACCATCCTCGACACCCTAAAACCCCAAAATTAAAATCTCCAAAATCGAAACCCTAAATTTCGATTTTAAGGTTTTCGATTTTGGGTTTTAAGTGAGGTGGTTCAGGGGGGTGGAGATGGGAGGGGAAGGGCTGGTTTGGGTTCGCTGGAGCGGGGAAGGGGCTTCGAATTATGGGAAATCGATATTGGGGGTTTAAGGTGTCGAAACCCTAGATTTCGATTTTGGGGTTTTTAATTAAGGGATCCGGCGGTGGGGGGGAGTTTGGTCATCGGCGGTAGGGAGGGGAGGGATTGTCGAGGGAGAAAGAGAGTTTGTGAATCGCGGCTGGGTTGCGTCGTCGGCGTGGGTTGGCTAGGCTGGGTTGCGTCGTCGGCGTGGGTTGGCTAGGCTGGGTTGCGTCGTTGGCGCGGGTTAGCTAGGCTGGGTTGCGTCGTCGCCGGTGCGGTCGTCGGCGTGGGTTAGCTAGGTTGGCGCGGGTTAGCTAGGCTGGGTTGCGCCGCGGTGGGGACTGGCTGGAGGCGGAGATATGGTGGTGGCAGTGACAGACGGTGGTTGGGGCTGGGTCATGGTGGCTGTTTTTTTTTAAAAAAAGTTTTTTATTAAGTAATTAATTTACTAATTTAATAAGCAACCACTCATAAACCACCACGTGGCATAATTAGCCTTAATGACTAACGGAGTTAACTGCCGTTAGTCATTAATGGCACTCGGTGAATTTTTTAAAAACTCAGTGGCATTTGGTGAATTCTGAAAAGTCCGATGGCATTTGGTGAATTTTTAAATTACTCGGTGGCATTTGATGAAATATCCGTAAAATCAATTTTAGTACCTAAATACTACTGGCTTGGCTACATAGCTTTTAAAATCAATTTTTGGTCCAACTTATTTGGATTCATTATTCTATCATTCTATGTCCCAAGAGGCCAACACTTCCAACATGTACCTAGTCCTAGTGACATACCAGTTTTAGAACTGCAATTTTTAAAATGAATTTTATTTTCATACTACCTTCATTTTTTTAATAAAAAAATTATTTTTGTTTAACTCAGTTAATTTAGATACTATGGTTTTTGTTTTTTTAGTGTTCTACCCGGTCCACCTGTTGGGCTAATTCGGAATTCCTACCAATTGTTGGGCTAACCCTAAACGCTAAATCCTTCTATTTGGCCATCCTATGAATAAATGGCACACATTTGAGCATAGTGGATTTGCTGGAATCGGAAATGGTGATAATGATATTTTGACTATACTAAAGCTTAGTTACCATAACCTTACACCCTCTTTAAAGAATTGTTTTAGCTATTGTGCATTGTTTCCCAAAGATTATAGACTCAAGAGGAAGGAGTTGATTAGCCTTTGGATAGCACAAGGCTATATTGTGTCGCTAGACAGAGATCAAAGCATAGAAGATGCAGCAGAGGAGCATTTCCTGATTTTGGTACGCAGATGTTTCTTTCATGATGTAGAGAAGGATAAATACGGTGACATTGAGTGCGTGAAAATGCATGACTTGATGCACGATGTTGCTCGAGAAGTGGGGAAGGAGGAAATTGGTGTAGTGAGTTCTAATACAACCGAATTGGGAGATAAGATTCGTCATGTGTATTTTGCTCGTGGTGCTTTTTCACAAAGTTACTCATTTAAGAGTAAAATACGTTCGTTAATTTCAGAGGGTAGTATGTCGTACGATAGAATGGTGTCGGTTGATCAGGTGGATGCACAGATTGATAGTTGGATTGGTCTAAGGGTGTTGTGCTTGCAGTCAACAGGTATAAAAAGGTTTGATTCAATTTGTAAGCTAATGCATTTAAGGCATCTTGACCTGTCTGTGAATCATGAGTTAAAGGCACTCCCTGATTCTATTACTAGACTACATAATCTGCAGACTTTAGATTTACATCGTTGCACAAAATTGAGGGAGTTGCCAAAAGATTTTAGCAAATTGGTAAATCTTAGGTACTTGGATTTAAGTCAATGTGATGAGTTGAGTGGTTTGCCTTCGGGCATGGGTCAGTTAACTAGTCTAAGGCACTTTGATTTTAGTGACTGTTATAAGTTAACTAGTATGCCATCAGGCATTGGTAAGTTGACTTATCTTAGGGTTCTACCATTGTTTGTGGTGGGTATGGAAAAGAGAGTTTCTACAGAGGAACAATGTATGGGAGAGCTCAAAGACCTTAAAGCCCTGACCAACTTAAAAGGTGGCATAGAGATCAAAATCGGCATATTTTACAAGAATGATGGAGGAGGAGGAGGGTATTTGAAGGGTCTGAAATATCTCACTCAAGTTGAAATTAGATTTGTTTACAGTGCTGAAGATGAAATTGATGGATGTTTAGAGTGGAAAGATGTGCTGGAAAAGCTAGAGCCGCCTTCAAATCTCAAGGGATTCATCTTGTCGGGTTACAAGGGTATGACAATTCCAAGGTGGGGTAGAGTAGAGGATAACTGGGCACTCTCCCTCCCACATCTTGTCAAAATCGATCTTTTGGGTTGTGTCAACTTGGAGCAGATACCATCGTTGAGTAAACTGCGTAATCTGAAATCACTGATACTTGAATATCTACACAAGTTGGAATATATGGAGAATACAAGCAGCAACAATGCCAAAGACGGAGAAGATTTGACGGTATTCTTCCCCTCCCTTGAAACACTCACACTTTGGAATCTTTCAAGTTTGAAAGGATGGTGGAGGGAGGAGGAGTTGGTTGAGGATGATGATGATGATGGTCGTATCTTGAGGAGTAGCTTCAGATTTCCTCGTCTCTCCAAATTGATGATCTATAATTGCCCTAAGTTAACTTCGTTTCCTTCTTGTGGAAGCATCGAAGATTTGGGCTTAGATGAGGTTGGCTCAAATTAAGGGAGGTGATGACAGATGATATGGGTCTTCTCAGCATAATAAACTCTCCACTATATAACCTCCAAATATTCTCGAATAAGAAGGTAGAGAGCTTATCAGAATAAGTAGATGTATTCCAGAATTACAAATACACTTCTTCCATACGGCGCCTTGATATTTTTTGTTGCTCAAATTTGAGAAGACTTGGAAGAGGGTGTTTGGAGCATCTCGCTGCCTTGGAGGAATTAAGTTTGAGTGACAATGGTCAACTCAGCTTATCTGAAGACAAGGACGATGATGACGGCATGCCTTGGAAATCCCTCCAACACTGTCTCCGTTCCCTGTCTATTGAATATTGCAAGGCCATTAATTCACTTCCTAAGTCAATGCAGAGCCTCACCTCACCTCACTTCGGAACCTTGAGATAGTTGGATGTCTAGAACTACAAGAAACCAAATGGGGAGGACTGGCCCAAGATTAAACACATCCCCAATATATCATTCCGGTAAGGAATTATGTTCTTCCGAATTCTGATACAGTTTCCATAAATTGATTTGTTATTGCTTCATATTATGAAGGCTCTCTATCGTTTTCTATAAACATATTAACTCTATCCCAATTTGATTTAAGCAAAAATAGCAGCTACTAATTATAATTTTGTCTGAAGCTACATAGGGATTACTAGTTTACGAGCTGTATTTGGGCACTTGCGGTGATGGTCATTTGCCAATTTTCTACCAAGATTGACAGTTTCAATTTTGTATATAGCTTCATCATGGGGTCTTCAACCTTGAGGTTAGAATTTTGAGTCACTTTTCTGTTTAGTTTTGAACCACTGTGCGTTGTTCTCCATTGAACCATCTACGCTTGTATGCTTGTGCAGAATATACTGCTTAATTGCTGGTTAAAGCTCAATAAAATTGTTCTTTTAGGATGAAGTTGAGATCAAACTTTCATTATCATAATTAAAAGGTAGGTTGATTAATATATTCTTGATTTGTAGAAAATTAAAGATTTTATTTTCTGAGTGGATGGCGTACAATTTTTTATTTTGAACCAGTATGCGTTGTTTTCCGATTAACCATCTACATAAGCTTTAAAAATTCTAATAGTGTACTGGTAATTAATTGCAGGTGAAAGCGTTAAGTAAAATTTTTCTAGAAGCATGAAGTTGATATCAAACTTTCATTATCATAATTAAAAGGTAATTTGATCATTTATATTTTTGATTTGTAGAAAATTGAAGATTTTATTTTCTGAGTGGATGGCGTACAATCTTTTATTTTTGCTTGTTTGTACTTTGCCTGATGATTGACTTCCTATGAACCCCCTTATAATTCTATAATGTCCAGGTACTTGATAATGTGCTTCGGATGGTACTCATATGGAAGCTGCTAAGAGCATCGCTTGAACATTGGATGAACATGATGATGAGTTAACCAATTCTCAAGTCCCTCTGACTAATTGCAACTAACAGCAAGCGCCCATTTTACCTGTGGAATGTTGATTTAAGTTTACAATGTAGCTATGGACGGTCTGCAGGAAGCTGCATTGAAGGTTGCTGCTGTGAGATTCAACGTGGAAAACTGCAAGACTTGGTTTGACAGAGTGAATTGCAAAAATATCTTTCAAGAACGTCTTTGACTTAGTATCATGTAAATACTTCATAGTCTGCGCCTCTGCGGTGCTTGTTGATTTCAAATAATGTATTGTGAAAGAAAAATATACAGGTGACTCTTTTAGACATGGTAAGCACGGCAATGCAACATTTAGTATCATTTGTATCTCAATTTTCACCTTAGAGTATCACTGAATGAATAATTCCGAGTTTATATAAAAGTGAAATTATTTCCTAAAATACTTGTGTTACAATGTTACATACATTTTGTCACGAAAGGTTTGGTCATTAGTTCAACACAAAACTTGTGAGAGTACTGTTTTGAGTTAACAATGTTCTCACTTTCAAGAGTAGAGATCGAAGTCATCGAATAGCCATATTAACAAAAAGTATTACAGGGGGGCTGATGATGTTGCTTGTTCAGAACAAAGTATCATCAGAATTTAAACCTCTTACACATAAAACTAAATCCACCAGCCATTTTTCAAGCAGCAGCCTAGGAGGATAAGAAGTCAAGAAGGAAAGAGCTATTATTGGAAACTACCATCCAAAGTCCCAGTATAATAGTGGAATGCAGTAAGAAACGATACAGAACGGCTAAAGGGAGCAATCATCATTTCGAAATGGCTAAAGGGAGAGTATTTGTTATTTCAAAATGGATATCAGTCATATGGAAAGGAGAAAACTTTATACACAGCTGTCAGTGAGTTCATTTCTGCACATTGGCCGTGCTAATAACATCAATAAACCGGTAAGTTTGTGAAACCTAAAAAATGAAGTATGGAAGTTCCAAATTTACACAGACGAAGCAGAATCAATTGAAGTTGTCACCAGGCAAACAAAACACCTGACTGTTTCTGCAACAGATCAATTCTGACATGCTATGTAATAGGAAGTACTTGAAATTGGAAGAGTGCAATCCTCCAAAGAATTGTGATGCAGAGTCTTGGGTCTACTTAAAGAAAATACCTCTCATAATTCATCTTTGGAGTTGGAACCTTTAGCTTCAGCATGCTCAGCATAAGATGCATAAGCTTTGATGATAGACACATATATGTCAACTCCTTTTAGATACTCTGCTTGATTTAAAAACTGCAACAAGGAAAATGTGTCAGAAATATCGAGTAATCCTTTTGCTTGTTAAGGAGACCATAAGACATACTCTGTAGAAGTTAGTAGGATTAATGACTGCTAAAAGCAACTGATAAGCCAGATTTGGTTTCCAAAACAGAACCCAACAGATTGAAAGAAAGGCAAGAATTGGTGAGTTTTTATGCTAGCAGCCTAGCACATTGAGAACGTTCGAAATGTTAAAACTTAACTGTTTTTCTAGTGTCTGATATCTACTGGGTGCACCAGAAATATGTCATCTTACATTTTACTATAAGGTGTAATTCATTATTCCTAAACTAGTGGATACGCTAGAACCCATGTCTGTATACTCCTCTTGTAGGATATGATTTCCCATATTTGTGTGTGTGTGAGGGAGTAAAAATCAATTTTGGAGTGTAAAAATCAACTCCCTCTTGTATTTGTATTGTAATCAGCACAAGTGAATCCTATAAACCCACCCACTGGTTTACTGCTCACATGACCTTCAACAAAAAGAGATAATGAAGTATATTCCATCAATGAGAATACTATAAGTTGGTAAGATTAATACCATCCCGGCCACAGCCGGGTTCAAAACTTCAAATACAGTGACCATTTTCCTTCCCGATTGAGTTATGTAGAGAGTGTGTGGTGGCAGTTGGATCTAATTCTTTTGAGTATAGAAGCCCCTCCAGCACTAACCCCCTACATACCACTTACCAGAGTACCAGATTATGAGAAGGAGACAGTTTGTCACCCTTCCCGCTCAAATACATACAGATGTCAAACAGACCGCGCCCATAATAAGATTATAAGAGAATTTAAAGAGGGGAAGCCAGATCTTTAATGTTTCAGGATTTAAGACCAAGGATGATTAGTTCATAACAACAATAAAATTGGGTTCTCAATATGATTATATGATCATGGGAATTGAGCCCAGGCATGGATTTCTTATCAACAGTCTCAGAAACTGAATTTACGTACAACTAGACAAAAGTAGATTAGGTCCATGCAGTATAAAAAAGAGAATAAGAATCAAGGCAAGAATATTCTGTACCTCGTTGTGGTCATGCAGTAGAATTGGAGTATTTGCCATAGGAGAGAAACCTATAGCAGGTAGACCTTGTCGCCTAAAGTAACGACAATCTGTAGAAGCAGGGAAAATTTCTGGCTTTTCAAGTTCTCCACCAGCACTGCGAACAGCCTCTTCTAAAAGGGCCCACCAGGGGTTCGAATTGTCAGAAGCAGTGACAGCTGGGTTACCGAAGTTGTCAAGCACAGATTGCTTCTGCTTAAACTGCCCATACTACACATATATTAGTCAACTGGCATGATGAAGATAAAAACAGAGAATTACACTATTTCACCTTCCATATCCTTGGCCTTGTTTGGTAAAGAGAAAATGATAATAGACATCATCAGTAATATAAACACAGATTGCAGCACATGGCATTACTTTATTCAGCTAGCAGATAACAGCAGTAGATTCTGTAGAAAATGTTCTGCAAGTAGCCATATACTTCGTAATTAACAAGTACTACAACATAAAATTTTAAGCATGTAAAATACCATAAAGCGAAATAAAAGTACATAATTGTAGGCTGAGCATGATATAATTGTTTGAGGAAGAAGCAAGTCAAACTTTTGAGTACCTTTTCCATCAGAAAATATATTGTAACTTAACAAACATTAAGCAAATTTGTCTCTGCACCTTGAAATCACAGTCTAAGCCATAGAAATGCTGATAGGAACAGCATTTTGGAAATTATTATTAAGTTTGGTACAGTCAATTAATAACAGCATATTCATTAGTCAGATTCACAGTAGTGATTCAAATCTACTTCAATTGTCGAATCTACGCTTAGCCAGACAACCCTAATACAACTGTAGCATCTACACTTTCTACTGTATAAGTTTGGCAACTTAGGAAATCTAATTCAGTCATTTGATTTACTCTCATGGTCTGTTTGGATTTAAGGATTTCATTTGAAATCTTAGAATTGGGCTAAATAGGTTGTTTGGATAACTCAAGAATTTGGAATTGTATTTAGCCCAAATCCAAGCCCTTACAAACATAAGGGTAGCTTTAAGAATTTGAAATTCTAATACAATTGACATAATTTCAAATTCTTGTTTTTCTCACCACCACTACCCTCAAGGGTTCAACTATCACAGTACTCTTCTACCACGATTCTCTCTTCTCCACCATGGCACCGTTGCTTAAATACTTCAACCATCGTCGTTTAAACGCCATTGCAACACCGTCTAAGCCACCTCCGCCGTCACAACCATTGTAGCAGAGCCGCCATCGCCGCTGTTGTCCGCCCAAAATACATCATTATTTGAACAATCTTGACACAAATTTTGTTGTTTACAAGATTGTTTTGTTTGATTAAAGCAAGATTCAAGTTTATAAAGGTTTAATTTCATCTAAATTAAGTTGCTACTTCATTAATTTGGAAGGTAAATTCATGATTTTCATTCTAAGAATAAAATTGGGGGGAAAAAATTAGGGTTTATAATCTATAGTAGAAGCTTTGATTTTGGATTCACATAAATCAATCAAACTGCAATTTAAATAATAAAACAGAGAACACCAAATAAAATAGCATAGAATTTTTCGTTAAAAAAAATAGCATGAAATTGATTTTTGTTTTGGAAGAAATTGACGCTAAAAAAAATATTCCTAAACTTTAAATTGATAGTTAGTACAATTATAAATTAGTCAATTTTGTTTGTTATTTTTTTTTTTAAAAAAAAAAAAAATTGTTTGTCCTTTCAATAAAAAATTAAATTATGCACTAATCATAAATTTACTTTTTTCAACGTCTAATTACTCTGCATATCTGTAGAAAATCCGTTCTTCATACATCAGATGGAATTTGAAATCCAGGAATTAAAATTCTACTATTTCCCAAACAAATATTTTGGAATTGAATTCTAAGAATTCAAATTCTGAAATTGAAATCTTTCATTTGAAATGAATTGAGTATATCCAAACACAACCTCAATGGAGTCTAAATCTGGAATTGTTGAGAAGTGGGACTTTTTCCATTTGTATGTCCTTAATACACTACATTCAGGGGAGTTTGAAATCTAGGAAGAATAATCTAGAGGACAAATATTGAATTTTGATCTCTTCCCATGCTATGATTGTTGAGTGTAAGCAGTCTAAGAACCAAAAGGATGGATAAACTAGAACAAGCATTGGCAATCATAAAAAAAAAAAAAAAAAAAAAAAAAAAAAAACCATTTTCCCTCCAACTTCCTTAGATAAAGACTGCGTAGAGAAAGAATCTAGAGTCGCCATCCCCGCAGGCATTTATTAATCATAGCTCATGACTCATGGCTATCTATGTGACTAGCTATCAAAATGTTAGGAAGATTAATGAGATTTTGTCAAACTATTAAACATGAAATACAAACATCACATATAATTCTTCAATAAATTGGGAGGGGAAGGGGCACTAGGTTGGAAATTAAATGATTATCACGTAAACTGATAGAAAAGTCCTTCAGACAAGAAACTTTAACCTCAAATGTCATGTTCCGTGAAGCAGGAGCCCACTCCTCAGCGATACGCCTTAAAAGGGCTTCTTGATCAGCTGTTGGAGGAACCCGAATATCAAAACCAGCTTCAGCTTCAGAAGGTTGCAAGTTCATGACAAAACCCTGAAAGAAAGAAAATCTCCATGTTAGAACTTAAACTAAGGCATAAGACATCTCATCACTCATCCTACTATCAAGTACTTTATTGATAATTAACCATTATCAGTCCCATCTCCCTGACCTTCACCAGAAACCAGGCCCTGGAACAGGGATGCTTCATCGAGCAAATTGATAATTGGGATGAAAAGGCAACCTTTGCTGTGTACAATTGGTACATAACTGAAAGTCTCCCTACGAGCTAACAGGCATGATTCCAGCAATGGTGGAGAAAGCAATCTATTTGTTTTCAAGCAGATTATGTAACTTTATGTCAACTTTTAAGATTTTCCTAGATTGGCACGAATAGTTTCTACCACACGTTCCTTTGCTCAATTCAAAGCTTTAAGAAATGAAGAAAAAAAAAAAAGAAGATAAGAAGAGGACAACAGGACTCAAGAGCAGAACTAAATATGCAACATGGAAGCTGCTTCTACTACTGACTACAGTACATAAAGCCTGGTTAAAATCAGGGCAGAGACTTACAGTTGGAGTTTGAGTGCCAGCTTTCAGAAACGCCATATTCACCGAAACCACTTCTCCTTCAGCTTTCATGCCAGACTTTACCATATCAAATTGTGACGCTCGATATCTTCTTATGATCTCAATACTCTTTAACAAATTCTCCATTGCTGTATTATCATACAACTTGGCGCCATGTCCAGGAGCTCCTGTAGCCTTGATCACTGTCCACATCGGTGATCTCTCTGCATAAAATGCCCGGTACTTCTCTCCTGGTGATGCAAGTCCCTCATCCAGAACAAAGGCCACATTCATTTTTTTATATAAATCAGACTCAGCCAACTTTTCCACCCCATCATGCCCTCCAATCTCTTCATCCGGCACAAAGGTCAAATAAATGGTACGAGTGGGCTCAAACCCAGAATCCTTCAGCTTCCGAATAGCTTCCAAGTACTGTAAACCCACACATTTCATATCCTACACAACCAACAAAAGTCCCACACAAGATAATCAGCCATCTACAGAGTATACAACAAGCATACCTATACACCTTTATAAGCTCCCATCCTTAACAAGTTTAAGGAGTGACATGTACACAGCTTTACCCTATGATTATAAAGACTTAAAGAGGCGGTATTCAACTGACCAATACAGTTATACAGATATGCAGCAGGTTATTGTTACCTTACAACAAATTCTACATGCAGTTTAACCATTAATCAATAGACAAAAAATGTTGACCTCACAAAATTTAACTATTAGGCTTCCAAGTATTTCATCACAGTCAAATTCCCATTAAAGAATGACTAAAAAACAAGATACATTCATCTTGGACTTGGCAAAGTTCAATTCTATTACAATAAAACAGGTTTTCATTGCAAAATACAGTATTTTCTCTACTACCCACCTCTTCCTTTTTCAAATACACAATCCCTTCTTTATGATCAACTCCACCGCCCTCAATTTCAAGCCATTATACTTCTTCCAACAAGAATCAATAATCATGTCGATAGTATAATTTGAACTAGTAATGTGACAACTAAACACGGACAAAGGTAGTATTAAAATCATGCCAGCAAGGAAAGCATACAGTCCAAAATTGAAAAAAACATAATCACTGCGGAGTATAAAGTATGAATATTCAAAGTTCACCTCCACAAAATACCCAATAATATTACTACTTTGTATTTAGTTTTTCTTCATTTGAAAAAAAATAATAATTTTCTAAAAATTAGATTGAAATAATTACCTGAGAACCTCTGGCATAAATATTGCCCTGAGAATCGATATGAGCACCAAAAGGGTCATAAGTCCATTTCTGGGATTCAACCGGAACAACATCAGTGTGAGAATTAAGGATAACTGAAGGCAAATTGGGGTTTTTGCCAGGCCATTTGAGCAAAATTAAGGGTTTATTTTTGACAAATTCAATAGTCTGAGATTCAAGGGATAATGATTTAGCTTGAGAAAGAATAAAATCAGCAGCTTCATAGTAATTGGGGTTTGGTTGGGCAGTGTTAATTCGAAGGTATTCTTGGAATCTGGAAATGATTGATGAAGATGGGTTTTGGGTTGCTGTGATTGAGATGAAGAGAAGAGAGAGAAAATAGAGAATTGGTAAGAGGATGAAGATGGGTTTTGTTCTTGATTCCATTTTTATGGAGTTTTGAGTGAACTTGCTTAACTCTTCAGATAGCAGGGCAGGGTATACCACTCGTATCAGTACAGTGAACAATAACTATGGATCTATGGCCACGGTAGTATTACCAACGCTGTGTTTGGTAACTAGCTTGTTTGAACAAAATTAGATTGGTTGTGTTTGGTAAACAGTAAACGGCTTGTTTGGGTAAAATTAGTTTATTTGACCAATATTAGCTTATTAACTAATAAATAAGCTAATTTAAGGTGTCTATTGGGAAGCTTATTTGAAGAGCTTATTCCACTAAATAAGCTCTTTTTGAAAAAGCTCATACAATTAGCTTATTCATTAATTTATGATGAAATGACATTTATACCCTCATTTAATTCTAAATCATAACTAAACTACCTACACCACAATTAGCTTATTGGTCATTTCACATACTCAATCAACTTTAAGTTATTAGCTATTTACCAAACAATTTTATACAATCAGCTAATAAAATAAGTTAGTCAAATCAGTTAATACAATCAACTAGTCAAAATCAGCTAACATAATCAGCTCCGGCTTTCAATTTTAAGCTATTCACCAAACACCGCCCTTATGTGATTAATATTAGCTTATTTAATACGGACGCATTAAATAAGCTCTTTTTCAATTAGCTTATTCAATTTTTACGGTGAAATGACAGTTATACCCCCATTTAATTAAAAATCTTATTTGAACTACTTACCCCACAATTAGCTTATTGGTCATTTCACATAATCAATCAATTTTAAACAATTAGTTATTTACCAAACACTTTTCTACAATGAGCTAATAAAATAAGTTAGTCAAATCAGTTAATACAATCAATTAACACAATCAGATTCAGAGTTCAGCTTTTCCGCAAGTATGGCCCAAAACTATAGTTGCACTTGCACACTTGCAGTCTTGCGCTGCACAACCTTTATGTTTTGATATCCCTTTTCGAATATTAAAAAGAAAAAAAAAAACAAAAAAGAAAAAAATGCGAGTAGCTCGGGTACTTTATTAGGCTAAATCAATTTTCACCAAAGTTCCCGTCAAAAAAAAAAAAAAAAACCAAAGTTAAATTACGTTGAGGGACAATACCAAATACAAACATACAGCGAGTTACTACTTACTACCTCACACTTTGTCACGGAGTGAGCTATGGTGATACAAGCCCATTTAACATGATTAATAAAGAGATTAATAAAAAAAAATAAGTTATTTAACTTCACATCATCATAGACAATAAAAATGGGTGATACAAGCCCATTTAACATGATTAATAGAGAGAATAACAAAAGATAAGCTATTTAACTTCACATCATCATAGACAATAAAACTGGGAGAAAAACTGTTGTTGTATCATTGTATGTTGCTCTTGGTTGCAGTCACCACAGTCGATGCATCACTATTTACTGCCACATTCTAGTACCCAACCTCTTTGCAACCTGTAATACATGCCTCACTGCAAGAGCCTTCGCATGCTCATGGGAAACTGCCTGTGTCCTCTTTGCTGCACACGCAAAAATATGCCCATCCAAGTCTCTTAGCACAACAACCCCAAGACCCGTTGTCCTTTCTTTTCCTTTGATTTGAGTTGGTTATGCTTTTACGTATTGGCTACCCGTGCAAGGTTACAATTACTCATTTTATACTCTTCTATTGGTATGTCCTCTTATATTCATCTGTTAAAACACTTCATATTTTCAAGTGTTAGTACGGTGTATATATGTAGGGTTTGTTCTCATTTAGGCCCTGCTCTATTCACCTTAAAAAAAAAAATATTAAGTAAAAATAATTTTAGTTCAGTATAAATAAGTTCAGTTCAGTAAAAATAAGTTTAATTCAGTAAAATTCAGTTTTCTTAAAGAAGAATTATAATAGGAAATTAGTAAAAATAATTTAAGTTCAGCAAAAATAATTCCAGTTCAGTAAAATTAATTTAAGTTCAGTAAAAAATAATTTAAGTTCAGCAAAAATAATTTCAGTACAGTAAAAATAATTTCAATTCAACAAAATTAAGGTGAAGATGGGGAACAGGGCTTGACTGAATTGAACTGAACTGAGCTGAACTGAACTGATTATTTTATAAGAGAAGGAAATTAGGAGCTGAACTGAACTGAACTGAAATGAATATTATATAAGAGAAGGAAATTAGGAACTGAGTTGAACATAACTGAACTGAACTGAGCTGAACAGAACAGAACTAAGCTGAATTGAATTGAACTGAACTGAACTGAATTTCAACGTAAGAGAACAGACCCGTAAGTTGGAAAATATTAGTATGTTTTTTTGACATGAAATAATAGGGAGATTAGTGGGGACAAAATATCAAAAGTAACTAATATGAATAGAACAAATAAAAGGAATTGCGGTAGGAGTATTTCATGTGTACCCTTAATAAATTATAATCCTTCTTTGACATGTATGCAAACAACAAATATAACTAGCTTTAAGAAACATGATGAGGTTTTGACCATTGGATATTTAGTAGTGTGTTTTTTTTTTTGCTCATAAATAACCCTTGTAAAATAAATTCAACTAAACTTGACTTGTGCTATATATTTAGAAGTACTTATAAGTTATAACGCATGCAAATACAAACTTGTGTGCGTATGTGATTCAAATACTTATGGTGTGTTCTATAACGTGTTCATCGGCTTATATCATACAGAGTATTATTTGGTAATAATTGAGATGAAATATGCCTTTCATAGGAGATGATTGCTATTAAACTTTAATTGATGATGAAGCGAAAAACCATCTCTATAATGTGAACTTGGAGATTCAGATTTTATTGACATCTCATGTGATATCAGGAAGTTTTAAATGATTTGATCTCCCTAATTGCTTTCCATAATTAGTGAATACAATAATATCCTAAAATAATTCTTAAAACACTTGCTCATACAACAAATCATCACCAATACGAGAAGTATAAATTCCACAAAGTTCTTCATAGACTTATAAAAATCACCCACATTTTCATTTTTTTTTTTTTTGATAGGCAAACAATTTTTATCCCCTGATATATTTCGCAAAAATAAAAAAATAAAACACTTGGTGAGCAAGTAATTTTTTTTTTTTTTTTAATGAAAAATTCATGATCATAATCCTTCCTTAAACCTCTCTCACCTCCAAAAACCCCCAAACTTTTAAAATTCTCAATTTCTCAACATACTAACACCCCCTAAAAAAAAACCCAATTTAAAAATTCCAACTTTCAATCATAAATTGATAAATACACCAAAAACAACACAAACCCATAAAATTAACCAATCTTTTTTTGAAAAAAAAAATTGTCAATTTTCTCAAATTTTTTGAAACTTCCATATACACCACCGCCATAAAACAACTTAGAGAGAAAAAAAAAAACAAAAAGTAGAGAGAGAACCAAAATGGAGGCATGTATGATTGAGTGTACAAGGAAGTTAGCAATTTGGTACACCAGAACATTCAAGCCAATTATGACCCACGAAGAATTAGAGCCCATAATGGCGACATTGGGCTTTACGGCCCAACCGGAAACACCAGCCGTGAACGGCGTCGCTTGGAAGGAGTATCTGTACGTTGCTAGTGGTTATCGGAGTTTATCGCCGGATTCTCCGTTACCGAAGCCGAAACTTCCGTGTCAATTAATTAACGGTCGTCGTAGAATTGACGGTTTACATATTTACACGTATCGTGCTTTCATTGACGCCGTCAATTTTTACCTTGAGATGGAATTTATCTCCGATGTTTTTCATGTCAGGTTGTTTTTCTCTCTCTTTTCCTCTGTTTTTGGTACACGTTTCTTAATTTTTGTCGTTAATTAAAGTTGATTAGTTTGCTTAATTGTGGGAGAAAATTAAGGGGGTTTAAAAATGGATTCGAAAATTTGATTATTCGAAGGAATAACAATTTGGAAAACATGACTGTGGATTGTTCTGGGGCTAAGAATTTTGACTTGGTTGCGAAGAAACATGGAAGTTATAGTCTTTTCGACATTGTTATTTTATGGGTCCACACATAGTTAAATACTCCCTCTTTCCTTATTTAATTGTCTTATTTGACCTTTTATGGAGTATAGTCTTTAAAAAATTGTTACTCGTATAGTAAACTCAAATTATACGAGTAAAGTATACTCCGTAATATTAAATGAGGACGAGGTAGCCATGAGTTGGATTTTACTATCTGTAGTTATTTATGGAGTATTAGAAAAGATAATTTACTTGTTTGTTTTTTTTTTAAGAAAAATATATGAGTAATTTACCTTCAATCAATTTAGTTCTGCTCCAATCAGTTCAGTAAATAAGAATAGTCCTTAAGTTTTCACCCAAATTATAATTGGTAAATAAATAAATAAATAAAAAACACTTATATTCACCCAAATTATACTTGGTCAACACAAATTATACTTGGTCAACACAAATTATACTATAGAGCTTTTTTTTAACAAACAACCAAACACTTATATTCGAGTGATCATATCATAAATGTTGGTGATATCTCATATGATAAGGTCAAATAACAGCCAATTAATCATGAAATCCATGAATTTATCATGTTAGCAAGGTTTTAGTCATATCCTTTGTGTTGCTTAGGTGTTATTTACTGGATTACTAATAAGGTACTTTTTTGTATTTTAAAGATTGTCTCATTGCAATTTTATGATCACTTGAAAATCTTTTAATTTATCTTGAGTTTTCTTTAAATTCATAAGAAATTATGAAGTCGTCACTTGGAATTTGATTGAATTTGTGTGAATGAATTTTTGTTATAATATTCCATAAGCCTTATATAAATTTATCACGTATGAAAAATGAAAATATTTATGTTTTTAAATGCAACTTATAGGTTGCAAAAAGTCAAATTGAGCAAAATCTTTATTGAATAAATAAAATATTAGTCTAGTACGTAGTAGAATAAAATGAAGTTACGCTTATGAAAGGTCATGGGTTTAAATAGTGCCTCTTCCATTTGTAATTACTCTGTAATATGATGCTCTTTCCCGGTCGTTTGAAAAACTTGGATCTTGGATGAATGTACAATATGATAGCACTTTGATAGAGCCATGGTCCATATCTAAATAAAGAAGTGGGTCTCACTAGATTTGATAAATGTGAAGGTCAATTTTCCTGACTTGTCCATATAAAAAGCGACATCGTGCTCTTAATGTCTTTGTTGCTCATTTTGTACAAGTATCTTAGAAAACATGTGTATCTTGCTATGATACATGTTGAGGGCTTGAAACTACGTACATTTTTGTAACTTTGTTAGTCTAGGATGTTAACTCGAATTTGTTTTGCGTAGGGGAATGCCGCTTCAAGCAATGTTTGATCGGAACAAGAAATTTCGTAGAATGGATGAAAACGGAAGTGTGTTTGTTTACAAAGGAGGAACCCTGGATCAAGCTTCATTCAACCAATACCACAAGAACAATAATGTTGATAGTAGCAACGACGAGCATAGCTCGATCATCATTCGAAACAAGGGCAACGACATCTCTATTGGCAAACTCGTTCCCCTGAAGGATATTATCGTTTTCATGGGTTTTGTTCCATAAAGAAATTGTAACTGAAATATATTTTGCAAAGGAAATTGTCATCCTTTCTGGTACATTTTGTGATGTATAGATTAGTAGATGTAGGAGTTCGTTAGTTCAGGAAATTCTTTGGATAGTTATTTGTAGCTTACTATACATGAATTGATGTATGTTTATTCTATTGAAGGTAAATAGAATATGGAAAATGAAGTTTTGTTGATGCCTTGGGCGGGCCAATACAAATTACTTCCATGTTTTTTTATTCTTCTTGAAAATTTGAGTGTCTTGAATAACTCTAAAACCTTGACAAAGGTATGTAATTTGATCCTAAGTCAACATATATTAATAAAATCAACAAATAAGAACACATATATTACATGGTTCACTATTGATGAGTAAGAGAGGAATTTAATTGTTAGGATAGTCTACTTACACAATAGTGGTTAGGTTAAATTTTAGTCAAATCTATCGCGACGGTTGGCTTAACTGATTCAAGGCATATTCTAACAACAATTGGCAAAGATAGGAACCATAAAAAAAATGTCTATGAGCTTACAATGTAGTCTTCAATCTAATGCAAAAATTCTAAAATTTCAAACTTATTAGGGTGCCATGTTTCGAATTTCAATAACATGTCCCTATATAATTTAGTTGATATTAAAATTATCCGATACATTCTAGTGCCGAACAATTAAAATTGAGTATGTAAATTTTAAACGAAAGACAATTAAATTGATTGTTTATCAATAATAATAATATAAAATGAAATCCCTTAGTGTATCAATTTTAACTATTTTACTGGATCACCAGTGAACCAACCTATTTGTATATTTTTGTGAACCAAAAATTTTACAATTCATGTTTTTTTTTCCACACCATTAGTCACTACTTCATTAGAGAAATTCAAACAATGTTTTTATACTCCCATTTTTTTTTTTTTTTTTTTTTTTTTTTTAAAGATTAGTCAGAGCATCATTGTACACCATATGGGTGAAACACCTCCTTCTCCCCTTGACCATTGCACTATATGATTAAAATGCAAAAAAAGATACACCCATTCTTACGCAACAATGAGACAGAACAATAGTTTATATACTTGTCTCTGCCCGAAATTTACCAAGTACCAAGGAAGAATGCAACAAAACTTACCACAACTCCACAAGGCCACTAGTAACATCATTGTGAAAAAACCAACCACCTTATAGGAAGGGTTTGGGAAACAAAGCCCCACGCAAACTCCAAACAATAATACAATTTGAGCTACTCAATGCTAAAGTGAATACTAAGGAGTAAATCGAAAGGATTACAATTAACAACCTTACAAATACAAAATCAAAAAGGTTACGACCTTATAAATCACACTAATTATGTACCAATACAGAGTATAATTTTTCTTAAATTCGCATACTAGAAGCTAGTGTACATTGTATAAGTGTAATCCACTAATCATATCATCTCAAAATAGTGAAATACACAAGGTGTAACAAAGTGGAGTAGTTTCCGCAAAAATAATCACACACTCAAAAGTCCACATTTTTCTCCAACATATTGGTCCTACAAATTCCCTCTCCTAAAAAGAAGATTTGAAGTTTCTTCCTTTTTATTTTTTTTTTTGTTTGTGTATAAAACCCCTCAAAAAACCCCAAATTGTTTCTCCGGATTCCTACTTAATTTAAAGACTTTTAGCTTACCTTGTGTCTGCCACCTCCAGAAAAGCTGCTACTTCTGAAATGTACACTACATGAAGTAGTAATTAATCAAGCTTTAAACCCAGAAAAATCCCCCTTTTTTGACTCATTTTCCTCAAATTTGAGAAACCCTCTTTCCCTCTCAAAGATCTCTCATTAATCCCTAAGAAAGAAAGGAAAAGAAACTAACTTTTTGTTTTTTCTCTTCAAAAATGAGCACAACCCTTCAATCTGCATTTTTCTGCTTAATTTTACTGCAATCCACCATTTTTACTGCTTTAAGTTATGATGATTTTGAGCCCCCAGATGATGAATGGGAATCTGCTACTGCTACTTACATCAAAGAAGCAAATGGGTCTATTATTGTTGGTAACTTTTTTTTACTCCTATTTCCACAATTTATTTCTTTGTTATTGTTATTTTGTAGATTATACTTTGCACTGTGGAAATTTGAAAAAAATTAAAGATGAAAACTTTGGTTTGTATCTGTACTACATTTCCTTTGCATTGGTAGTGTAATTTGAACTAGTAATGTGACAACTAAATCCCGGTGAAGTAAGGACCTAACAATAGTTAACATTAAACAACCATGTTCACATTTTTACATTTCTGACATTTTACATATTGTTACATTTTCATGAATTTCTCATTAAATGGTACTCAAATTTAGTGGAAATGTAGTAATTTTGAGCCAAATTTGTCCCTAAACAGAAGGGGCATGTGGGTATGGTGACCTTCACAAGGCAACATATGGAAGATATGGGACAGGACTAAGCACAATATTGTTCAACAGAGGGAGTAGTTGTGGAGCTTGTTTTGAGGTCAGATGTATTGATCATATTAAATGGTGTCTGCCTGGGAGTCCTGCAGTTGTCGTAACCGTCACCGATTTCTGTGCTCCAAACTATGGTCTAGCTTCTGATTATGGTGGCTGGTGTAATTTTCCTCGCCAGCATTTTGAAATGTCTGAAGATGCATTTACTGAAATTGCTGTCAAGTCTGCTGATTTAATTCCAATTCAGTACAGGAGGTAACAGATTTCCCTAAAACTTATCCTTTGATTTTGCAATATGAATGTGGATTGTTAGCTAGATGTTCTTTTTAGTCATTGTGTTGCATAGCACTAGTCTTGAGTTTTTGGGATTGTGTTGTAGAGCTGGCAAAAATTGAACGGAGCCAAGGATTGGCTAACATAGAGTTTTAATGACTCAAAATTGTTAAGCTGAACTCAATAAGCCAGAATTGGCTAAATAACTGGCAAAATTAGCCAGACTGAAAATATTGGCTTTTTACGCGATTTTATGACCCAAGCTTGAACAAAAATTGTTAGAGACTAGCTTAACCGATCTAGTGTGATGGGTTTCAAGCTGTCTATAGACTCTAACCAGCCACAGGCTACAGTTAAACACTCCAAAATTAGGCAGCAATGTAGACAAGGAGGTGCCATATTGATTAGTCTTGGTTTATACTTTATAACATAAAGTAGCTCACAATGCCACTTCATTCTTAGTTTACAAATGAAACATCTTCTCTTTATTGTTGCAAGAACTATGATTTTGCTGAAAGAGTCAAGGAAACGGTGAAATTTGATGCAGGGTGGAGTGTGAAAGAGACGGTGGGATGAAATTTACAGTGACTGGAAACGCCAACCTTTACCAAGTTCTTATCACGAATGTGGGACTAGATGGTGAAGTAACAGGAGTGAAAATCAAAGGCTCGAGAACAGGATGGATACCGATGGCAAGAAACTGGGGACAACTTTGGCAATGTAATATCGATCTTAAAGGGCAATCACTCTCATTTGAGGTAACTACCAGCAGTGGGAAATCAGTGACTTCCTATAATGTGGCTCCTAGAAACTGGCAGTTTGATCAGACATTTGAAGGCAAACAAATTTACAATTATTAGCAAAAAAAAATGAAGGAATTTGAAACTATTGGTGGCATTTTTAGTTTACTGGCTTCAAAGAGGCCTAGAATTTGTAAACTACTAGTATTAAGGAACATATAGTAATTAAATGAAAAGCTATGAACTTCTGCTACACAACTTTTTTTTTTTTTTTTTTGTGATTGCTGCTTTATATTGCTTTATTTACGATATTCAAAGCTCTTTATGAATTAAACCTCATGATGAGATCTCCACTGAGAGCCTGAGAAGTTGGCTGCTTTTGGCTACTTTGGTCCATCACAAATGAAGTGATGCGTGGATGTGAAAAGAAAAGGTTTAATTTGTTAGGCAACTAATAAAAGCCGAAATGCCTAAAATATGTTATTAAATGAGCAAACTGCCTTTGGACTCAAGGTAGGTACTCAAGGTAGGGTACTATTGACATGTTGCTTTCTGCTTCCAATTGTTGGATGATCATCTATACATTTAGGCTAATCTGGAGAATATATTGTGATTGTTGTCTAGCTCTCTCTCTTGCTAAAGACTGAATAATTTCCAACCATCTTTTATGGTTGTCTTGTTGATGTGTTGTAATGAAGTTTGGGTTAATTTTAATGGTATACCTAAATGTTACGAAGTAAATAGTTATTCATATACATGCTTTGGATGCATAAAATAGTTTTCACTTTTCGATTTTGTGTTAATAAATAGAGGTCCTTGGTGGCTTCAAACAAACTACAAAGTATAGTAGTAAACTATTACTTCTATACAATTGTGCAATGACTTTCCGTAAGAACAAATCTGACAAACCGACTTGATCCCATTTAAAATTAATTTGACTTGAATTAAAATAGCTTGAGATATACCTGATCAACTAACCAATCAAACAAGGTCGAAAGGAAATACTTTCTCACAAACTTGAAATTGACCCAACCTAATCGGAAGTTTTTATTTACCCATATCTTATACGCTCTTTATGAATATCTTACCTCCGATCACCTATTCACCTCATCCGATTTTGACCCGACCCATACACGAGTAGCACCACGGTGACATAGGTTTGACTTGCTTTGACCATAATCACTTTTGTTATCCTCGCCAAATTGCCCAACGAGGAAAGAGAAAAACTCAGATAAAAACAACCGAGTAAAACCCAAGATATCCTCCAATATCAAAAATGGCCACCATGTTAGGAACGCCATGGATAAGAATCAAGGTCGTACCAGATTTACACTCCCCTATTTTCCGGCAATCTTCCCTCTCTCTCCACCGCAGCTTCCGCCGTCACTTCCGCCGTGATTTCTCGATTTCCGCTTCTTCCGATTCTCCTTTTCCGAGGAAGAATGACGGCGAAATCAGAGTTCGATTCGCTCCTTCTCCCACCGGAAATCTTCACGTCGGAGGCGCAAGAACTGCTCTCTTCAATTACCTCTTTGCTAGGTTAGTGCAGATTTTTGTTCATTTCAAGTTTTATCTCTTTTTTTTTTTTTTTGCGAATTTTGAATTTTCTGGAATTTTTGGTAAATTAGGTCAAAAGGTGGGAAATTTGTTCTGAGAATTGAGGATACTGATTTAGAAAGATCGACGAAGGAGTCTGAAGAGGCTTTGTTGCGTGATCTTACCTGGCTTGGTCTTAATTGGGATGAAGGTACTTCAATTTTTGCTGCATTTCGGTTCTAGGTTTAAATTTTGCTTTTGCTTTTTAATTTCTATAATTGATGTTGGTGTAGTTAACTTAGCATTCATGGTAAAGTTTAATTCACTCAGCTGATATGCATCTTGAGCTAACAAGTTAGTGAAAAATGTTAAATGTGTTGCTAGATTTAGCCACAAGGGTCCAGTGTTAGCGTCAAATACATTGTCTAAGATAGTATGAATTTCGGATTTTATGACAAAAATACGCGTTGGTTAGTGTTATTAGTGGTATTTAGTCATTGGACCATTAGGGCTGCATATGTTGTTTTTCAACATTGTAATGAATCAGTATATTTATTTTTGATGTACAAGGTAGAGTATAAAGACTATAAACCCCTGGAATGATGTTGGAAATATGTACCTCTCACATTAAGTTTCAAATGTACTTCCGGATTTTGGACATGAATAGTGATATAAGTCATCTTGTTTCTTCAATGAGACCCTTTAAGTATGCTTACCGAGTCCACCACAAGCTTTAGTTACTTTGATACTAGTATATAAGGATATATGCATTTGTACTAACTGATTTTGGAATATGCACCTCTAATATGTGAACTTTGGAATTTGGTTGGGTATGAGGAATGGTTTTAATGATTGAGTTTCTTACTTTGTCCTATGAACGATTTTTTTGTTCATTTTTAACTTAATTTTCTCTGTATTTGAATATCATTTTCATTTGTTATACATTGTATTGTTAAGTTGCAAGATACAGTGTAAACTTGCCAGAAATGATTGTGATGCTGTTTGCCATATGCAGGTCCTGGAGTTGGTGGAGACTATGGTCCATATAGACAATCTGAAAGAAACAGTCTGTACAAGCAATATGCTAATAAGCTTTTAGACTCTGGTTATGTTTATCGGTGCTTCTGCTCTAACGAGGTAACTTAATCTGGGTTGTATGGGCTATTGAGTTAATGTGGTACATTCTTGGCCTTGATTATGAGTGGTGACATGAAAGATAAAATTGATTATTAAAGGATAGTTGTAACAAAAAAATTCTGTTGGCAGAACAAACCAGATTATATCAAAAGAATAATTAATTGAATAGACTTGCACATGGATATTACTCTTCATTACTCAAGAATAATTTACTTATAAATGGCATCCATGACGAGTAAGTACTGATTCATGGGGCGCAGAACTTAAAACAGAGTGTAGGAGATTTATCATCTAGTATTCACTGATGTAATACGGAGTAATATTTCAGTGTTGGGATTGGCCATTGTATTTTAGCTGTTAACTCTATTTTGTCTGAAACTGAGGTGTATTGTTTTGCTCGACTGTTACATTGCAGTTACACTATCATTATGAATTTGACTTGTTGCTGCTTCAAAGAAATGTTGATAATATGTTGAGTTCAGGTTCTAAGGCTATGTATGTGTCTATTAGGAACTTGAAAAAATGAAGGAGACTGCAAAACTGAAAGGATTGCCACCAGTATACAATGGAAAATGGGCCACTGCCAGTGATGTTGATGTAAAGGAAGAGCTGGAAAAGGGATCCCCATTTACGTACCGATTTCGTGTACCCAAGGATGGGAGTCTCAAAATTGATGACCTTATTCGAGGAGAAGTATGTAATTTTTTTTTTTATTGCCCTAAAATTAGTCAATCACAGCATATAGCTATTATTATATACCCCCTTTGTCTGGAAGCATGAAAACATAAATGATTTATCATTTCTGCGAACAATTTCTGAACCATCATTTAACTTCCAAATATGTTTCCACTTATATGGAGTGACCAAGAGGGGATGAGAAAGAGACAACTATCATAAAGGGTATTTCAGTGACTGTATAGTTAATTATTTAGGATGGTTTTGTTCCTTGTGACATTAACTACTGGACAGAGGGAATGTATTTCAATGAATTAGTGATTCAACTTGTCCCAGAAAATATAGTCCATGTTTGAACCAGGTTTAGCTGACATTTTTCTTCCTTCAGTTTTCCTGTCTTTTCTTTGGCTTTACCTTGCATTTAGCTAGATGCTTGTTTGTCCAATATTTATTTAGCATTAGGTTACCTTGCCTACTAAAGCGAGGCAAGAAAATATTAAAGCTTTGACTAGTATTTGAATAACATAATAGAGTTTGGCAATTCGTGGTTTCAACAAGGTGTTAAAGTGTTTGATAGCATAATGAAGGTTAGGTGGAACTTGGATACCCTTGGAGATTTTGTGATCATGCGGAGTAATGGGCAACCTGTGTACAACTTCTGTGTCACAGTTGATGATGCAACAATGGCCATTTCACATGTTATCAGGTGAAGTTCATCTAGACGTAATGCTATCCCGGTGTATCTTTTCTCTTGCCCTTGTATTCTTCTTGCATCTTGATAAATCGTGTTTCTCCTGCCCGTTAGCAAATGGAGGGTGTCAATTGCTGAACCTTAATCTTTTTTTAACCTGCTTATCAGAGCGGAGGAGCATCTACCTAATACACTGAGGCAGGCATTAATATACAAGGTGATGTCTGGTGTCTCTAGGATCTTTTCTTTGTTTCTTTTGATCTCTGGCTGCCTATCTCTTCCAACTGTCAAGAAAACTGAATATTGGAATCTTTGTAATGCTTTACTTACAGGCTCTAGGGTTTCCTATGCCCAACTTTGCCCATGTTTCTTTAATTCTTGCACCTGATCGAAGCAAACTATCTAAGCGTCATGGTGCGACTTCAGTGGGTCAGGTTTGTGGCGAAGAACAAATTTTTTAAATTTTATGCTAGCATAATGGTCTGGAATCTGGATTGATACAGTCATTGAATGTTTTTGCATTTGACAAACAGTTCAGGGAGATGGGATACCTGCCTCAGGCTCTGGTGAACTTCTTGTCGTTATTGGGCTGGGGGGATGGTACTGAAAATGAATTTTACACTATTGAGCAACTTGGTTAGTTACTCTCACCCTATATAAGCCTGTTGAACTGCTCCAGGAAATGTCATTTTTGTTAATTTTCATTTGTGTGAGTATTATTTCATGTGATTGCAGTGGAAAAGTTCACTATAGAACGTGTAAATAAGAGTGGAGCTATATTTGACACTACTAAATTGAGGTAAATTTGAAGCTAACTGTCATTTTGTTGACTTTATGCACTGGATCTTGCATTTCGATCTAGTTTCTTCAGTTTCTTGTTTACTTGTAGGCCACATGGATTCTGTAGCAGAATATAGGGCCTGTTCATATTTTCTTATTTTCAGTTCAGTTCAGTTCAGCTCCAATCAGTTCAGTTCAGTTCAGCTCCAATCAGTTCAGTTCAGTTCAGCTCTTAATTTCCCTCTCTCATAAAATATTCATTTCAGCTTAGTTCAGTTCAGCTCAGCTCAGCTCCAATCAGTTCAGTTCAGTTCAGCTTCAATCAGTTCAGTTCAGCTTCAATCAGTTCAGTTCAGCTCAGTTCAGTAAATATGAACAGACCCATAGTTGTTGGGATAAATTGCAGTACCTGTTTACTGACATTTTTTATTTGGATCTTGTTCATGGAAACATCAGGTGGATGAATGGGCAGTACTTGCGAGCTTTGCCATCAGATGAGTTGAATAAAGTTGTTGGAGAGCATTGGAAGAGTAGTGGCATCCTCAATGAATCCGAGGGACTGTTTATAGAAGTAAGTAAAGTGTATTTTGTATTTTTGAAATAGAGAGGGAGAAACTAATTTGATTTGCCTACATTTAGTTTACAATATATGATGTGCACTTCTATAGCCTAAATGAGTTGCTCACTTACACATGAAAAAAAAAATTGAACTTATGATCTGTCTTGTGAATGATGTATTATCTATTTCTCCCTCCATCTAAAATTAATAAGCACAACCAAAGTACTTCCTTCGTTTCCTTTTACTTGCAACACAACCTCATGGCACACACTTTGAGGAAAAGATTAAATACCCCATTGAGGCTGTGTTGCTATTATAGAAAACAGAGGAAGTATATCAATTTCAAAGTTTATAAACTGCAATTACAATTCATCACCACTTGCTAGGGAATATAATATTGAGTTGATTTAATTGTGTATCTATGCAACTTATTAATTAATTATTTTATCAGATGTTAAGAATCTGAGATGGTTAAACTGTGTGAGCAGGAGGCTGTTGCATTGCTGAAGGATGGACTTGAGTTAGTACCAGAATCAGACAAATTGCTTTCAAACTTGCTATCGTATCCATTAAGTGAAACTCTTGCAAGGTACTTTGTGAATTTTTAATCCTTGACTGAAGTTTTATTTAGTGGTATAAATGTTTGATTGTGCCTTCTCAGCTCATGTCCTGTGGGAATTTCCAAATGCAAATTTAGCCTTTGTATCTCTGTATGGAAGTTGTACTTGCTAATACTAGTGCTTGTTTTAAATTTATAATGGGTGCGCAGCAGTTATTAAACAGTTTAACAATCAAGAGTGTTAAGTCATACTATATACTGAATTGAAGCTATTACATAGTTTCTTAATCCTATTCTCATAATTAATCATTGATGTTATTTTTGAGAAAATTTGCCACCAAGGGAATTGCAAAACTGTGTCTAAAACACTATGCTGGAACTTGAAGAAGACAAGTAATGCTTGGTTCAGCTCTTTGAATGAATTTGTGTATTCATAAGATTTTTGATTTTGCTTAAATTATCCTTTGTAGTTCTGAAGCTAAGCCAGTTCTTGAAGATGGGCTTTCTGATGTGGCATCCAGTCTCTTAGCAGCACATGACAGTGGTGAGCTCAGTGCAGCACTCCAAGAAGGCCATTCTGGCTGGAAAAAGTGGGTCAAGGGTTTTGGGAATTCATTAAAGCGCAAGGTATTTTTAACCCCGTTGAGGTGATATGATTCTGTGTCTTCCCTTTCCTCTCTTTCTGATCTTATCTCACTGGAATATGTCATGGCAGGGTAAAGCCCTCTTTATGCCCCTCCGAGTGTTGCTGACAGGAAAGCTCCATGGTCCAGATATGGGAGCTAGTATTGTTCTGTTGCATCAAGCGGGGACTACTGGTATTGTAAATCCTCAATTTGGGCTCATAACATTAGATGAAAGGTTCAAAATGCTTCGGGAATTGGACTGGGAGTCATTTAAAGCAGACTCTTCTGCACCCGAACCAGCTACCACTGCAGCACTTTGAGATAAAATAGAATTTGGCACTTTTCCCTATTTCCACAGCCAAGTTTTGCAATTTTGACCTCGAAGAGTAGCGATGCCTATTTTGCAGCTTCATTTTACTAGGCTTTTGTATTTGAAACTGGTTGATAGAAATTAAAACATATTGAATCTCAAGTATTACACATTTACACAGCAATTGGCTGCCTGGTTTACGACTTACGAGTACTGACCTGTCAGTTGTTCAGACTTATATGTTTCAGACAATTCTTGACGATGTAAGGTGAAAATGTGAAATTGTGTATACATGGAACTTTCCATACCTCCACAAGTGTTTGGTAGAACATCAGAGCAAGTGATGGCGAATTGGTAACAACCGATCTCACTGACCCAGTCTTTTTATTTGTGTAATTCAAATTGGTCTATTTTTTTTTTAGTTGCAGAGTCATGACCAACTTGGTATAATTAAGAATCTCTCATAAGAAGACCAAGTAAAGTCTACTCTATTGGATTCAGAGTACTTAACAGCGCAAATAAGTACACTTGAACAGTTTTAAAATTAGCCTGACCATTCAAATATGTGACCCAATAAATCTATAATAGTTAATACTTCATAGGATTCAATATATTTATGAGGTACGTTGCTTCAAATTATTCATTAATACAGGATTTCTGTTAACAAAAGTTTTTTTTTTTTAAATAGAAGTATTATAAAATTTTAAATAATTTCTTAAAAACTAAGGGTCTGTTCTGATTGACTAAATTGTGATGAAAATAATTTGAAGAGAACAGGTCCTAACATTTCGTTAAATATTAGAGTATTGTGGTTTTTTTTTTAAAAAAAAACAAAAAACAGAGTATTGTTCAAACAAAATTTTATGAGATTTTTTACTTTATCCAATTGGATGTACTTTGTAAATTCTATTAATTTACTTTGTAACTTCTATTAAATTTACTTTGTAACTTCAATCACTGGTTGAAAATTTCCCTTTACAAAACCTTCTTACAATTTGCTTGTTGGATAGGATAAAAAGAAAAACTAATTGTTAAAAGTTTAAAACTCTTGAAGTTACTAAAGCACTTAGCTTTTGCTTTTGGCGGGGTGACATTTCCTAAATACTATTTGAATGTATTGATCATGTAGCCGACTCTAATTCATTATGAGATTAAGGCTTGTTGTTGACCTTGTTTTTGTTGTAATATGTATTGGTTTAAGGTGGTAAGTCTGGTAACTCTATTAAGTGTCTTAATGATAAGTAAACGAATACTCATTATTTTACCTTATACTCCGCATTTACTTAAGACATTGCGGAGTATCCTTCCATCCATTTACATGTTAACTAAACGATCACTATTTTTTAAAAAATTGATCAATACGTACAAATTAACAATGAGCAAAACCATATATACAAGCAATTAACAAATCATTGAAATTTGAAACCGACATAGACCATAGTATAATACTAATAACAATGTACAATAGAATCTGAATTCTCAAATTCATTTACACAGTCAACATAATACAATCTTCTAAATAAAAGTCCATTCAAACTCCAATGTCTTAATCCACCATTATAAAAGTATTTAAATTTAGTATTATAAATTAATAATCTTGCTTAGCTTAATAACATAACATAACTCCAATATTAAGAAATTAAATTAATTTTTTCCTCAAAAAACAATAAAAGAAATTAAATTAAATACCACGTGTCTACAAAATCTTCCCAATTTTCTCTTCAGAGTTCAGACCAACACCAACAAACTTCCTTTCTTCTTCTTCTTCTTCTTCCTTTCGATCATCTTTTCAGTATTACTTCACCTGAGTTCACCTTCAACAAAACTATCATATTTTCTCTCTCCTCATCCATTAATGGCGATCTTCATCTCAGATCTCTAATTTCTCACTTTCTCTCTCCTCTTCATCAATGGCGTCGTCTCAATCTCTTGGCGGTTCAACTCGCTGCGGCAAAATCCTTGGTCCATCCTTCGACAAAATCATCAAGAATGTCGCATGGCGGAAGCATACAAACCTTGTCGCCGCTTGTAAATCCGCCATTGATAAGCTTGAAACCCTAACTGAACAACCTTCTCTTTCTCTCTCTTCTCCGATCCCTACATTATCGCCTTCCGACGCCGACGCTTTTCTCTCTCCTCTTCTGCTTGCGCTCGACACCGCTTCTCCGAAGATCATCGATCCTGCTCTCGACGCGCTTTTTCGCCTCTTCTCGAACAATCTTCTTAGGTTTGAGCTCGATCGTTCTTCCGATGATAACAGCAATTCGTTGGTTTTTCAGCTGATTGAATCTGTTTGTAAGTGTTGTGGTTTGGGAGATGAGCTGGTTCAGTTTTGTGTGATGAAGGTGCTGTTATCGGCGATTCGATCTCCGTTTGTTGAGTTTAGAGGTGATTATCTTAACCACATTGTTAAAACTTGTTATAATGTTTATTTAGGGGGTTTGAATGGGACTAATCAGATCTGTGCTAAGGCTGTTTTAGCTCAAATTGTGTTAATTGTATTCGCTCGTGTTGAAGAGGATTCTATGTTTGTTAGTAGTTTTAAGACGATTACAGTTTCGGAGTTGCTTGAATTTACTGATAGGAATTTGAGTGAAGGGAATTCTGCTCAATTGGTTCAGAATGTAATTAATGAGGTTATGGATTGTAATGGAGGGGTTGAAGATTTTAATCAACATACCGAAAACTCCCAGAATGGAGATGTCAATGTGGATGGGAATGAGGATAAGAATGATGGTGATGATTCAGGGGAGAAACCGGAGGAAAATAACGAAGCAGGGGCGAAAGTGGAGGAGAATACTGAACCAGGGGCGAAAATGGAGGAAAATAGTGATGAGGGGAAACCAGTAGTGAAAAGTGAAGGACTGGGAGGATCAGGGGAAAGGGAGAGTTTGCTTAGAGAGGATGGTTTTATGCTGTTTAAGAACTTGTGTAAATTGTCAATGAAGTTCTCTTCACAGGAGCATTCTGATGATGAGATTCTACTAAGGGGGAAAATCCTATCTTTGGAATTGCTGAAGGTGATTATGGATAATAGCGGTCTTGTTTGGTGCTCGAATGAGAGGTAACTTTCTAAATTTGTTTTATCAATCATGTTTGATGTTGCTGTTGTTGAATTTATGATTTTGGTAGTTTATGAAGTTTTCATGCCTAGTTCAATAGTTGCTGTACCAATATATTGACATTGGTATGGTACATTCAGAATATATGAAAGACTATTTAGGTGTACTGCTGTGATAGATGAAGAGAAGCTCTTTTGAAAGTACCTAATACTGGTTTTGTAGTTGCTCTCTTAAAAAACCCAATACTGGTCTTGTATAGTATATACCTTATGTAAGATGAAACACATACAAAAGCCTTATCTCACCAACAAATGCTCCGGATTTCTTACAGATACGAAAGATTTGCACCAGATTTCTTACACCAGAAATTTGTATAAGGTATATACAATGTACACATACTAAAGAACCTAATGCTGGTCTTGTATATATACCTTCTGTAAGATGAAACACTTACTAATCTAATGTAAGATGAAACACATACAAAAGCAAATCTTGACATATTTTGATTCAGTTTTTCCTAATTTAGGCAACAAGACTGGTTAATAGTTGCGTAGTGCAACTATTGTAATTGAATATTTAGCAATATCAATGGGGAAGGATTTCCTACACTTGAGGTACCCCCCCCCCCCCCACCACCACCACACACACACTGGTGCTTGAGGGTTGGAGAGGGAAAGTTAGTAAGGAAACTAAGTAAACTAAGGTCTGGGAAAGAATGGATCTCACAAGTAAGCTCCGGTATACTGGCTCTCAATGCCCTGGGCCTTACTGACAGACCACTTACTCACACTCTCAGGACCACAGACCACTTACAGACAGCTTCTGTGAAGCTGCTTCCTAGTGTATTTGTTTTTCACTTGCCTTTATCAATTGTTGTGTCAGTGATACGGATTTTAAATGTTCCCATCCGAATATTATTGCAATTGTCTGTGCTCTTTCTTGCAGCTTCCTGAACATCATCAAACAGTTTCTCTGTTTGTCATTGCTGAAGAACAGTGCATTGTCAGTGATGACCATCTTCCAGCTTCTGTGCTCAATTTTTATGAGCTTGCTTTCAAAATTCAGATCAGGGTTGAAATCTGAGATTGGAATCTTCTTTCCAATGCTTATCCTTCGTGTCCTGGAAAATATAACTCAGCCTCGTTTTATTCAGAAAATGACTGTCCTTAACCTACTAGAGAAGATTTCTCAAGATCCACAGCTAATCATTGATATTTTTGTCAACTACGATTGTGACCTGGATGCTCCAAACATTTACGAGAGGTACTTCTGATGTCTAATTCTTTGTTTAGGTCTCAAATAGAAAAAAAGGTGTGTAAAGTTTGCTTGTCTGGGAGTTATCTGTTTCCTTTCCATTGCAGATCTATTCTCTATTGTCTTTTGCGTTGTTGTAAATGAATTATTTTGCTAGATTGTTATTATTCTATGTCGTATAAACTTTTGCTATTAATTTGCAGTTTTTGCATCTCTCTGATCCATATCTGCTGTTGTGCTGACTCATCAGTAAATGAATTTTTCTAATGGCATGCATGAGGGTGTTGAAAATTATTCAGAAAAAAGAATACTCATGAATGTAAACTGTGATAAATTGTGTCATTGTAGCAAATTTGACAGATTAAGTAGTTTTATAGAATGATGAGAGGATTTAGTCCAAGATTTCTTCACATGAGCATATGTATTATAGTGTTTGATGATGTAATGGTTTGTTATATGGAAGTGTTTACAGTGTTTTGATGTCAATTGGGATGACATATTGATGAAGCATGATGATTTCTTCTGTTTATCTGTTAATTCACTTTAGAAGTATATGTAATTGTGAAGCTGTGGACCTGTGGTATATCTTTGACAAACTTGCATACTTTCATGGTTAATGGTTTGGAATATATTTTGGTTCACGTCTCTTATGATTTGTGAAAGTGTGTGCTAACTATGATTTTCTTTTGACCATAGATGTCATTGGTTTTCTGCCTTGATTATAAAAAAAATCTTGACCTCATATAACATGTGCTCTGCATAATTTTCTGTGAAATAGTAGATATTTTTGCTACACCTGATCCTTCTACAATAGGTGAGACCACAAGAGCTTTACTAGAGACATTTGATCCACGGTCTGTTTTTAGCAGGAATTGCCATGGTAGTGGCAAGATCAAAAAGTAGTAATTGAACCAAAGGTAGTTTGGATGAAGATTGAAAAATGCAGTGCATTAGATTAGTCTATTTGTTTGTGAGATAAGACCAAATAAATTAATATATTAGTTTTTCAGAATTGAAGCATTCTGTTTATCTGTTTATTCACTTTAGTAGTATA